ACACCTTTCAGCTGAAGGAAATACTCCCCAATAAATCAATCATGAGGGGGCAAAGCTGCAACATAACACTACCCCATGGACTAAATATCATTTAAAAAGCAGCTATGACCCTGAAGAATACCACAAATCATAATTTCAGAGTGGACATAAATAGCACTCCCCCAAACACACACACACACACACACACACACACACACCCCACAATGGAATAACACCATTGGCTGCCCAGTCTTGGAGACTTGGAGTCATGCTCATATCAGGAGTCACACCACCACACACACACACACACACACACACACACACACCTGCACTCACCTGGTGGTGCACTCACCTGGTGGTTAGCCTTCCCTCTTAGCCTGGACTATGCCACAGGCTGTCCTGACTATCCAGCTGGCAGACGGCCATTGCTGGAACTTCTTAGCCTCCATATTCACACATGGCAGTCCCTCATGAATTCTCTCTCTCTCTCTCTCTCTCTCTCTCTCTCTCTCTCTCTCTCTCTCTCTCCATCATTGCTATCCATATCCCAGATTTTCTTCACCAGTTCATTTTTAGATTTTTTTGGACTGGAACTTCCAGACATTCCTTTAGGTTAAAGGTGACAGGTAGGAAACTTGAAGTCCTTGTTCATGCAAGTTGCTCTCACACTTGAATACCCGCAACTTGTATGGGAAAGACAGTTGACTTTCATAATGTTTTCCTCAGAACTTTAAAATAAGGTTCTTTCTTCTTGTAGGACCAAAGAGAAACCTGAGCTCAATCTGATTCTCATTCCATTTTATAAATTCTATTTCTTGTAACTCACGAGCTTTTAGAGTACTTTCTTTTTTCTTTGATCCTCTATAATTTTGCCAGGGTGGAAATATGATTGTTTTTAATTTCGTACGTATTAAGGAACTTCATTCCCTCAATTCTTTCTGTTCTTATCTCTGAAATGTCCATTAATGAATGTTGGAACTTCATATACTACCTCAAATGGCTCTTAACCTTTTTAAGTACTTTCTATTGCTTTACCTTTTTATTCTTTTGTTTCCCTAGAACTCCAAAACTCAATCTTCCAGCTGACCTTCAGCTGTGTGCACTCTGATACTCAGTCTATTTACCGATCATTTGTAATAACTAAGTTAATCCCAGAAGCTATAAATGAATCTCTTAATTCCCTGGCCTTATTTGATGGATGTTATTAATCTTATTATTTACATATTTAAAGTCTCTTGTTTGACCTAGTAACTCAGCTGAGGTTGATTTCCTCACTATGTTGTATTCTTCACACATTTGGAAGGCTTATTTTTTCATTCAATCTCCTCATTAGGGGGCCAGTGCATGCCCTTTAGGGGTTTTCCACGGCTGGCCTTCACAGTTTGGGAATGGGAGAGACTGGGTGTGCTCTTAGACAAGTGGACCATGGCTTCAAACCTTGCATGGAAACTTCTCTCTAATATTGCCTGGCTGCTGCTATTGCCACCTTATAAACAGCAGCTTCCTGAGTCCTCTATCCACAATCTTTAAGAACCAGCATTCTCTAAGACTCTACTCCACCACCCAGAACTTTACCTTGAATAAGTTTTTAGCTTCACAGTTCGCATATGTAGAATTAAAAAAAAATGGAAGCAAATAATCCTTTGTGTTCTTTACTTCTATTTGGAAAGATAAAGTAGTGGTTATCTCTCAACTGTAAGACATCCAGCCAGACAGCCTGGTTCAAATCCAGGGTTAACTATTTGCTTCCTGTGTGACTTTAAGGCAATTACTTATCATCAGTTCACTGTGAACAATAATAAAAACTTACTCCTCCGAATAACTGAGAGGATTAAATGTGTTATTGCCTATGAAGGTCTTTGACCAATTTTGGCACTCAACAAGACCATAGCATTAGGTGTTACCACTGTTCCAACTCAGAGATTTCAGGGCTGGAGTTTATTCAGAGTATTGAAACTCATCCCATGCCTGGATCCAACATTAAAAAAAGAAAGAAAGAAAATCAGTGCTAACAGAAAGAGTTACCGCTTCCAAAAAATTTTAGGCATAGTGAGAATTTTAAATAAGAAATTTATCTTTTTTTACTTTGATTATAAACTGAGGTCATATTTTTACTGAAGGGATTTCGATGCTGGATTTTTGAGTCTTGGCTGTATTAGATTCACTCAAAGCAACATGCATTTAATTTTAGTTTCTGTGATGTTTCCAGCATGGTGCCAGGTATTGGGAATTTAAATATAACAACACTCACACAGAGAAGTATGTCTGAAAACAATTTTCTTTTGTATTTTCACACAGACCAATTTGACCAATATGAAATTGTTTAATCATGTATTTTCCCTTCATACCTGTAGACTAGGTTTCATTGTGTTCAGAAACTTAACCAAAAACAAAAAAGTGTTTGAGTTCTATCTGCTATTTTTCTATCCTTTACACATAAACTATTTTCTTTTCTCCTTAGGTACTGATAGGATTATTTTTTCAATCATTTGTTTTACAATTTTCTTAGCATGTCCATTTTTTATTACTTTTCTTGGAAATCAATAGGTGTAATCAGACAACCAAGAAGGTTTTCTTACATTATGTCTTTGATTATTGAATCCATGCCAGTAATCCGCTTTCTTCCTCAGAAACACCATAATTCTTGGGTTTACTTTCTATTCTTTCTTTGTGTCTACAAACTTCCATCCTGTTATTTCTTGTACGTTCTAAGAACTCGAATGTGCCCTATTCATCACTAAATTTTCCAGTGAGCCAGTTTTGCTCCTTGACTGCCTTTAAAACCTATTTAAATTCTTCTTGTGTTTTTGATTCCCCTGGCAGTCTTCTAATATTTCAAGAGCATTTATCTAATCTAATCCCATAGATGCCTGGTCTATTGAAATACTATTAAGCACGCCAAAAAGTTTTCTAAAATTTTATTCTGCTTCTTGCTATAAATCATTCTTATGAAGTCTCCTTTTTGTGTCTATATCATAATGTATTTTTTCTTACCACTATTTTTTTTTCATAATCCTATATTTTTCCCCATATTTTTCAACTGGATTATGAGATGATCTACTCAGAATGTTTGTGTGTCAATAATGGGTATATGGATTTCTCTCAACACCACTGTTGTTCATCTGAATGCTTTTGAAATCTTTTTTACCCGTCTGTAGCTAAAACTTTGATGCACATGATAGATAACGTTACTTAGAAGGAAACCCTGTTGTATTAGAATGTGACAACTTGCAAATTAAGTCTATAGATTTAATATCCTCAGTTAGAAATATGCATGTATGGGAATTTATTTTGTTATTTTTATTGAGTAAGAAGAAAAAGATTTGGATTACTTAGATTGAGTGCAAAGACTAGGATAAGAAAATGGACTTGGGGAACCAAAAGCCTAACATGAAGAATGAGGATGAAGAATTCATGTGGAATTCATCTTCATTCTTCATGGAGCAAAGAATCCACTGAGACAGCTGCACAGATTCCTCGTTCTGCTGCCCCAGTTGGACCTCTGTTTCATGTTAATGATGTTGTGATTTTGAAGATTCCATGCATGCAAAAGAAGTAAACAGCAATTAGGAATGGAGCAACATGTTCTGGCTTGCCCCAGCCCAAGGAAAAAAGTGGGGAGGAGTTTGAGGGGAGAATATTTATTCAACAGTGTAGGAAATCACAAGGAGGACTTGGGTCAAGATAAAAGAGAACACAGAGTCTGTTTACTGGGATTTTAGGGATTCTGGTCTGTTTGCACAGTGTCAGTGGGCCTGTGGGGGCCTATCCACCCATGGTCCCCTTCCCAGAATAGTCATAGCAATAAGAAAGCAATAGTTTTGTCATCTTCATTACCTTGTTTGTTTTATCAGTCAACATTGCTGGACGGAGGGGACCTTAAACTGAAAAGCAGAGGAGTTCATCCTCTTGTGATTTTCATCTAGTGGGTTTTCTAACAATCACAGCAACCTACCGACTTGGTGCTCTTTCTGCCTCCAGCTGCCGTATTGCAAGGTCAATCTTGCTAGTACAAGAAAAGAAAGTTCCTTCCTGCCTCGCACCGCCCCACATCACCAGTGACAGATTGTTCTACTCCATCAATAAGTTTCCACAAAGAGAACACTGCAGGGAGAGAATGGAGTTTGTCTCTCAGAGCACAAAGAAGTCCCAAGGTGCCTCAGTCTGGCTGGGCAAATAACTGGGAGGTGACAAGCAACTTGTTGTGGCCCTCAACACCAAGGGATGGGGAGGAGGCCAGCATCGGGTCATGTAAAGGTGATCTTCCTGCTCCTAAGTTAACTGCCACAGCCACCCTTAACCAGCACAGGGGCAGCTGGGAGCAGGAGAGTCACAGGCACAGAAGTAAAACTGGACCACAACCCAAATCACAAAAGAGACTGACAAATCACTAGAGTTGCACATGGCAGTGGTCATTCAGGGCCTTTCGCTAAGGGAGGTCATGAACTCAGAGAGCTCTTCAGAAGAACAGAGCTGGGGGGTCTGGGGTCTGAACACTCAGGTGTCATACTTCCAGTGACCTAGACCTCAGTACGAAGCCACCAGACATCCTGGGAAGGATTCCACATGCGTCAGCCCAGGCACTGGACTGTTCCTACCAGTAGCATCACCAGGCATAAGGCCCCCTGGAAGGGCAAATAGGTCCCTGCTGCCAGAGAGCAGGGAGTGGGGAGCCCAGCTGCCCACTACAACACACTGGGCATTTGGCAGCAATGAGCAACAGATGGGAATTCTCTAAGGAAGGGCACGAAGAAGAGACAGGGGAAGTGTTTCATGATACTCCAGCAGTTTTGATAAGAAAAACTTAGACCAAACTTTCAAAATCCTCTTATCACTTTCCTGGGTCAGTGTCAAATTCACAATACAAATATTCTCCCACTATATGCAGAGTGAATGCTGGCTGGGGATTCACACATCCTTGAACTATGGTTTAAATACACCCCCAGATGCCATTTTCTCCCAAGTGAAAAGACCTTCCAGGACATCTTCCATGCAGTGGAAGAAGAGGAGGAGGCAGGGCCTCTTGCCCAGCAAGGGCAGGACCATAACTGCCCTAGAACAGAGCTGAGTTTCCCAAACACATTCCAAATGTTTACTCTTGCTACCCCCATGTTGAAGTGGCTTCTGAGTTTTCCATCTCTGAAAGGTACTCTGTCAATGAGCTTTCAGAATTCCTTCATAAGGAGGTAGGTATCTTACATAAAATTAATACCATTCGAAACTGCATTGACCAGGTCACAGAGGGTGAATTTATATGCTTGAAAGTTGCAGGTAGAAGGGGAGAGGGAGGCAGCAAGGGCCCTTCATTAGGAATAAACAGATGAAAATCAGCTTCAGGGTGAAAAAGATCAGGACAAACTCCGGCTGATGGCTGGGGGAGGCAGCTCAGGGCTGGAACAGGAAGCAGTCAGCTCTGGATAGCAGCAAATGCACAGGTGCCCTCATTACACAGGGGAAGGAAGACCACTGCCACTTTCCTCCCACACCCCAGTGCTGGACAGTGGGTCCCTTCAAGGACTGCAGACCCTGCCACAAAAAAGAATGGTCTGGGTTTTGTTGTGTCTGATGAAAAAGAGAAAAGGCCTGTTGGCGTTGAACTCCACCCAGGACGGCAGTGACTTTTCCATGCCAACCACCCCACTGGCTGCAACAGCCTGGGTGCCATTTTCATCCACCTCCACGAAGGTCTTGTGCACAATCTTGGACAAGTACAGATTGGTGCTGGGAGAGATTCCCGAGAGGTCAGCCTTCGTCTCATCAAAGATATCCGTAATACCCATGTCTTGCAGAATGGAGTTGAGGTCATAGCTGTCTTCCAGGGTGAACTGGGGGAAGGAGATGGCTACCTTTGCTTCTGACATGTTTTCTGAGCTAGTCCAGGCCCTGAGTTTTTCATAACTTATTTTCCTTTCAAGCTACAAGAGTAAGAAAATAACGTTAAGGATCAGCCTGTAAACCTGCAAAGAAAACCCCAATTACTTCAAAGTGCCTAAGACCATTTGACAGTCAGTTACATACAAACTTCAAGGTCTTTCTATAACCCTCAAATGGTCTGATTTCATTTAAAACTCCTCCAAGGAAACTTCTTTCCTCTCTAAAAGTTACAGGAGAATTTGGGTTCCACTGTGCTCTGGTGCTTGACAGACACATGTTCAAAGACCAGCAAAGCTCAGCTGGGTGAGCCTGAGCAAGCCCTAACATTTCAAAGTTAAATTTCTTCTTCTATAAAACAGAGATAAGACATTTATGCTCTCTCAAGGATTGAGCAAAATAACATGTGTGAAGTATTTAACAAAGTGCTGGCACATAGTAAATTCTGAATAATCGTTGTTACTGTTATTGTGATTACTATAGTCGTATTTCTCTCTCACCTTTTCCCTCATCTATCTTTTTACCCCAGGAGAGCCTCCCCAGCCTGCATTAATTCCTTCCTTAAAGTATTTTTGTCAAAGTGTTTGCATTCAAAAACACAATGCAGTTAGAGAGTCTTTAGTTGAACTACAGCAAAGTAGTCTAAGGAAGAGACCAGAAGTCAGCATACTCAGGGAAAAACGGAAAGCTATTTCATTTGTAACAATTCTCAAGTGACTCAGCACTCAGATTCCTTGGTCAGGAAAAATGATTGCAGAAGGCTATGAATTAAGAGATGACACTTCTATTTCAATAGTTTCGGTATGCATTCTTTTGGCTTAAACAAATAAGAAAAGTTATCTAATCTAATTCAAATTGTTGTAAGTCTTCAATATCTCTGGTAGCTAAAATACCATTCTTTCTCAGGTTGGTGGATAATAACAGTATTGTTCTCCAAGGATCTGCAGGTGAACTCAGTACAGACATGAAATGAAGACTCACCTCTTTCAGGCCCTTCATGTTGTCTACGGAGCGAGGTGGCAGCAGGACGAACATGCTGACCTTCCCCGTGGTGTACTTCATCTCCAGGATCTGTGCCTGCAGCTCCTCTATGAAGCCGATTCTAAACGTGCCCTTTTGCTTCATCATCTTTACAGTCTTCTCTTCATTCTGTGGGTGACGAGGCAGGAAGTCACAGTTGGCCATGTGAGCTCACAAACCCCATGGTCCCAACTTCCCTGAGAACAGGGCTTCTTCAAGATGAGAAGAGTCTGTGCCAGAAGTCCCAAACCATGGCAGCAACCCCTCCTAGGAGAGCCTCTGTCCATTGAGCAGTCAGTCTTTCCTCTGCCAACAAGATCTTCCTGTGTTTTTAGTCAGTTCTCAAGACTTTTATTGGTAGGCTTCCTATCCAGACACCTCCCACAGCCTCGTCAGCCAAAGCAAGCCCAGCAAGCTCCCCTTCTCCTAGGCCTGCTCCAACCCAGTCCCTTGGTCTCGTGCCACCATCCCCTCTGGCCTGGTCGACCCCTCCACAGCACCCAGAGGACCCATGGCTAAATGGTAATCACCCACATATTAAATAACAGCCCCAGGTCCATAGTTGCCTTCAGAAGAAAGGGCACTACCCAGAGCACCCGAGCCTCCCAATAACCTTGAGGTGGGGAAGTCAGCAATCTAGGACACAGAGGGGAAAAAACTGTCCCCAATAACAAAGCAAAACAGCTTACCGGTGGCCGGCTGCCTAGTCTCATCCCAGTGGCTTAGAACATGGGTTTGGGGGTAAACACAGAAGTAACTCCTAATGCATGGCTGAGTAACTTGGCCTTTGCATTTTTCCTTCAACTCCTACATTGTAATAATAGCATCCACTTCATAACGTCATTTTGGAGGACAGAAAAAAATGATGAACAGAAAGCAGACAGTGCAGCACCTGGCACAGAATGCCCAAGGAACTTCAGGTGCTGACTTTGGCTCAGCCCTAAGTGCTAGGATCGTAAATGTGAGCTGCAACTCCGAGACCTGCAAACCATTGTTAGGGGACCACATACTGCAAACCATTGTCAGGGGAAATCACGAATGGAATATCTAAAAATCTACAGGCTGTCGTACAAGTACCTCATTCAGAAAGAAAGGTTCATCAACTGTGTTGTCACAGTCAAAACGTTGTTCCCATTTGGCCTTGAAGTACACGGCGTTCACCAACACCAGCACAGTCTTGTCATTGATGGTGTCCTTGCTGAAGAGTTCCTTGATTTTACCTAATAGAGATGCACCGGAGAATATCCTGAGTGTGAATTATGTCATAAATCTTCATCAAGTCAAGGATTTTTTAATGCATCTTAACATCCCCAGAGTTAGAGTGTCTCGTTTAAGAGCTGACAAGAAAACAAAGTGAGGGTGCTGCAGGTGGAGATGCAGTACAGGTAAAGGGGGGTGAGGAGGAGAGGAACCCCCACTTTGCCCTGAAGGAGGATCCAATCAGACACTGGAACTAAGGGACTCTCCTCCAACTCTCCACTCCACTTTTAATTGGGATTGTCATCAGGTAGCTAGTACCATGGTTCATCTTTCAAGTTAGAAATCTGACCACCTGACTATTTTGGAGTCTCCTTGAGAAAATAGCTATGGTATTAACTGCCTCTTTCAAGCTCTCGTCGTGGCGCAGTATATACGGTCACACACAAACAAATACACACAAAAACGAACTAGGCCTTGATATAAAGCCTCTTTTGTGGGGACTTTCACAAGCCTTCTTTCTTTCTTTTTTTTTTTTTAATTTTTTATTGTGGGTTGTTCAAAACATTACAAATTTCTTGACATATCATATTCCACACTTTGATTCAAGTGGGTTATGAACTCCCACCTTCACCCCATACACAGATTGCAGAATCACATCAGTTACACATCCATTGATTTACATATTGCCATACTAGTGTCTGTTGTGCTCCGCTGCCTTTCCCATCCTCCACCCTCCCCCCTCCCCACCTCTCCCCTCCCCTCCCCTCCTCTCTCTCTACCCCCTCCACTGTATAACCCTGAGGGTCTCCTTCCATTACCATGCAATTTCCCTTCTCTCTCCCTTTCCCTCCCACCTCTCATCCCTGTTTAATGTTAATCTTCTTCTCCTGCTCTTTGAACCTACTCTGATCTTAGTTACTCTCCTTATATCAAAGAAGACATTTGGCATTTGTTTTTTAGGGATTGGCTAGCTTCACTTAGCATAATCTGCTCTAATGCCATCCATTTCCCTGTAAATTCTATGATTTTGTCATTTTTTAATGCAGAGTAATACTCCATTGTGTATAAATGCCACATTTTTTTTATCCATTCGTCTATTGAAGGGCATCTAGGTTGGTTCCACAGTCTTGCTATTGTGAACTGTGCTGCTATGAACATCGATGTAGCAGTGTCCCTGTAGCATGCTCTTTTTAGGTCTTTAGGGAATAGACCAAGAAGGAGAATAGCTGGGTCAAATGGTGGCTCCATTCCCAGCTTTCCAAGAAATCTCCATACTGACAAGCCTTCTTTCAGTTCACCCCACATAAGCCATGAGAGGCAGGTACCATTGTCTCTTCTTTATGGAACACAGACTGCGGCAATGAGAGGTGATGCCCAACAGCCAAGAAGCAGCAAGGCCACCTAGGCTCAGCCCTGACATCTTCCCTCTATTGACCCACAGTACACAGCACTGGGGATGACGAGGAAAGCCCCACATTATCAGGAGCAGCCCCCCCTGGGGTGCATCCTTCCACCCTGGTGTACCAGATGACCACTTACTAGAACACAGGCTGAGGTTTGAGAAGGGAAGACCCTTCTACCTCAGGAAGCTTGGGACTTAAATCCCTGAGAAATACCAGAGGTAAGCTGGGCCTGGGGCTGCGTGAGGAAGACTAGAGACAGGAAGCAGAAGCCTGCTGATGGGAGAGAGGGGCACAGGGCATTGCATCAGGTAACAAAGACAACTGAAATAAGTCCACTGCTGTTCCCAGGCTGCGGTCACTAAGAATGTGGGCAGATGCCCAGGGTTACCATCTTACTGTGAAGGCAGAAGTAGCCCTCTACCTTTATCTCAGGTATATGAACATTTTCCTCAACCCCACATGGGCAAGCAAAAAAATGCCTTGGTCTGTGTTCAGCAGTTTGCCTCGGCCCTGTATGCTAAAACCCTTTTGGCCTGAGGGGTTGAGTTCCTTGGGCTTTGCAACCCGGGGTGCACTGGAAGAAGGGAGCACTGTCTAGGCCGCACCTAGAGCAACATGGGGCTGGTCTCCAGCCTCCTTTCCCAGGGACTGCCAATAAGACCTCAGACTGCTTCCCTGTAGGAGGTTTGAGTCTCTGACCTGGGGCTAGTGGGGGATAAATCTAGGAGGAAATGGAGTGGAGAGACAAGACCACTGTAAGTAACCAAGAAATAGGAAAAAAGACCTGGAGAAGTTGAGTCCTCTCAATGCTGCTGAGTCCAGAAGCAAGTTCACAATGAAGTGAACGTTACCTTTTATAAATGTACTTTTTAATTGGTGATTAATAATTGTACATATTTATCATGTACCATATAACATTTTAAAATATGTAGACATTACAGAATGGCTAAATCGATCCAGCGAACATATATACACATTATGAACAAAACTAATCTTTAAATAGTAATGACTACAATAAATAAGACCTCAAACCTAAGAACATAAACTGTTCGTGAATATTTTATCATTTTGAGAGGGTACTAGGTATTGAATTCAAGGGTACTTTACACTAAGGTACATCTTCAGTTCTTTTTAATTTTTATTTTGAGACAGGGTCTTGCTGGGTTGCTAAGGCTGACCTTGAACTTGCATACTTCCTGCCTCAGCCTCCCAAATGACTGGGATTACAGATATAATTACATGTACAGATTGCATTCCATGATGCCCTTAAAAACAATTTTTAAAAAACAAGATCATGGATAGGGCATATTTCCCTATAGTAAAATCCTTAATTTTTTGAAAATTTTCATTAAAATAATGGACACATATTATAGAACACATGAATAGGGTGGCAGTTAGGCAATTTATTCATTTGGGTATATTAAAATGTTCAGATCAGAGCATTATGAGTCACTCTCTAGCTCTTACCAAACAATCCTTCACCTACCTAAGTGGTTGATAAAAATCCTTCTGCTCCACCTCATAGTACTTCTCCAATCCATCCTCCTCTTGCCACCTCCTCTGCCACCAACTGGTCCCAGCCACCAGCTCCTCTTCTTCTGTCTTGGTGCCCTGACCAACTACATTCACATCTCCTTCTGTCCACTTCTGATCTGTTCTCCATTCCACAATCAGAGTCGTCTTTTAAAAACACACCCCTGCCTTAAACCCTTTCTAGCTCACTTTTACTCTTAGTTCACCATGTAAAACAAAACAAAACAAAATACTGAAAATTTCTATGCTTGGGTGGATCCTTATTAAGTCAATGCAAACTTATGTATTAATTATAAGTAAATATTAGATACTATAAACATTTCTGTAACTTTGAAATACTCAGTAGCTCAAAGAATATTTTTAAATGTGCCATATTATTTTTGTTATGTGATGTTGTAAGCCCAAGAAATGGAGCTCTCAGTAATGCTAATATAACAGATAAACTTCTATCTCAATGGATACCTTACGGGGAAGATTATGGGTAAATGAACATTCAGTGCTGAGGACACTGGTATGATTCCAAAAGTGCTAGAGACCCATATATACCAGCAGAGGGAAACTCCATAATAAAGCAGTAGAAGCATCAAAAAAATATATATAATGACAGCCTATAGAACTGATTTAGAATATGAGACTATGGTTCTACTTACTAAAGAAATATCATTTTTAGAGAATCATGGATTTTAAGGAAGCGAGAGACCTTCCAGTTTTTACCCTATAGCCACGGCCACTGAGAACCAGCATGGTGGTCAACACCATGACCATGACTAATTTAGCTGCTTTCAGACATAGTTTCATTTTGTTTTGTTTCTAATGCAATTATCTCTAGAATGAAGAACATCTTACTCAAGAAAAGTATAAGTATTCCACAAAGAATGATATTATTTCAAAGCAGCACTATTTATGTGCTTCTTGGAATAGCCACATATCTGAGTGACTTTAAGAAAATTTGTAAGGAGGACAGTTAAAAGAGCAGGACATAGTAGATAAGTGTCCTTGGTGGGAGGCTCCATGATGGATACACGTGGCGGCCAGGAAAGTGTGGTTGATACATGGGTTTGTGAGTGAGGACACTGGGGCATATTTTAAATATGACTGGGAGGAATGGCCAGTTTAGACGCTCTGCATTCCTACAGACTCTCTTCCACTTAAAGACCTCCATTTGGCTGGGAGCTGGGCAGGAAGAGTTCTATAACAGAAGAGCCTCCCATTTACACGGGCCTCAAAAGTGTCAACACTTGCCACTGTCTCTACATTCTCCTTCACTCAGGAAACATTTTTACACATAGTGAAAAGGTGATAAGTATAAGGGTTTTATTATTTCCATGTCCCTCTGAATAACTTCATAATCTTAACTTTTTACTAATTCATGGAAAGAGTTGACCTCCTGCCAGCCCTAGGCTTGGTTGACAGGCATTTCATCTTTATTTATGTTCAAGCAAAAGAGCAATAATAAGTAACCAAAATATCTAAGCATTTGAAACATTTGATGCTCATTCCAAACAAGTTTTGAACACAGTCTACAATAGTGAGCATCTGTCCCCAAAAGGTCAACAATCTGAAAAGCTGGGCTTGCCGATGAGTCTTCTCTGAAACGGAAAGGAATAGCAGCTATGTTGCATTTGGTCCTCCTTACCTTGGCATTGAGATTCAACCCAGAAGTTGATCTTTTGTCTGGACTGTTCAGTGTCTTTCCTGAAATCAACACTTTCAATTGTCGTGTGGTAAAACTGAATCACACCATCTAAGTACTCCTGTGCAATTGGAATAGAGGGGAAAGAGCACAATAAAAACATGTGGAGATGCCAGGAGTTTAGAGCGAAGCAGTCACGGGAAGTCTAAGGGGAAAGATGTCCTCCTCGTCACCTAACACTGGGGGAGCAGGCCTGTCGGGCTCTCTCTACCCCAGTCTTGGCTAGCCACCATGGCAGAACAGGACACAACGCTCAAGAAGCTGTCTGAAGTTACAATGGCAGACGGCTTTCCTGCCAGACAGTGTTTTATCTGAACAATCCACATGTGGAGACATCACAAAGTAAATATAGAGTAACTTAAGAGGCTTAGCTGTAAAATGCTTCTGTTTTTAAGAATTAAAGTCCTCCTTAATGCCTACAGAGTTTTCATTTGGGGTAATAAAAAAGTTCCCCAAGTCTATAGGGTAATGGCTACACAACACTGTGAATGGAACTAAGGCCACTGAATGATGCACTTAAAAATGGTTAAAATGGCAAATTTTGTGCTATGTGTATTTTTACTGTGATTTTTAAATGGACAATGTAATATACAAAAACTGTTGATTTGTATACTTTTAATAGATGAATTGTATCATATCTGAATTTATATCCCCAAAATTTATTTTTTAAGGAATAATCGGTCATTCCCACTGTAAAAGAACGCACTTATTTTGGTCAAAAGTAGGCTCTCTCCTTCCCCCTATAGTCCAACTCTAAACAGCTGCGACACATATGTGCCACTGGTCACACCCCTCATGTCTGTTCTTAGTATGTGGCTCCTCCTGGAGACTGGAGGGCGACCAGAGCCCGAGTTGAGATACATTCTGCCAGGTAGAAGCTGCTGAGTCACAGAGACCAGATCTACGGCTCTGGCTCCCAGAACGCCACTTCCACTGGGTCTGCCTGATCATGGCACCAAAGGGGACTTTAGAGAAGTGCCTTGAAGGCAGCCCAAATCTACCAGGGCTTTGGATTGGGAAAGAAGGTCACTAGAATGTCATTACCAAGCCCACGCACACTCCCAAGGCGGCTGTGCACATGACCCTTTCGCCACCCACTCTGCACACTTACAACAGACCTTGTAAACTTGAGTTGAGAGGTGGGTGTGGGACAGGAGGTGGTGGACCTGGACACTCACCAGTCCACAGCACATCCTCCCACGAAAGAACTCTGTGTGCCCGGTGGCAGGTGGACTATCTAGCTTCTTGCTTTTTAAGTAGCACACTCTGTGATGGCTTTTGTCCCCGTCACGCTCTACTCACCGGGCAGATTGGGTATTCCTGCTCTCCATAGAGCCTGTTGGCCATACTCATGGTGTAGTGAACTTTGACCCTGCCTAACTTGGAGAGAAGATTTCCGAAGTAGCAGCTGAGCAGCTCATTCTTATCACTGGAGGACTTGGCCTAACAAAAGAAGAGACAAATCACGACCTCAAACAGGACTATCAGGAGAGCTGAACACCCCTGAAGGACGGGTATTTTCACAGAGACCAGTCAGAGTTGCTGGGTGTTCTCTGAGGTGAAGAAGAGAGAAAGGAGGTGAGAGGGGTCCCTGGGAAACCATGGCTCCCACAGTGGAGTCAAGACCACTCAGGAAAAGTGTGTCTAGGACCCAGCGATGCACAGGGGCACCCTGGCTTCCTCAGTATTCAAAAGGACACAAAAAAATCCAATTGTCTTCCACCTCCTAAATTTCGAGGTAGGGAGAGCCTGGAGAATGTCCTTCCTACCCCTGGGCTGAGCTGACCACGGCAGCGTTGTGTGTCAGGGCATCTCTCAGCACCAAACAGAGCTGCAGAGGTGGAGGGAGGCAGATTCCACTGCACCTTGACCCCTGGCTCCCCTTCACCTTCAACCACACTCCATCCTGGGAGCCTGTGGTCTGCGGAGGCAGGCGAGTAATGGGGATGTGGGCTAAGTGATTTTTTTTTTTAATCCTGAGCAGAAGATACCAGGTCTTACTCATTAAGAAGCTAACTCAGGGCCAAGGATGTATAAAAAGCATAATTACAAAGGAATCATAGGTCACATGAGGTTATTGCTGTTCATGGCAGCCAGGACCAAATGTCTGGGGATGAGTAACCCTCTCCAGTTGCAGTCGAGAACCAGCAGTCTGCAAAGAAGAGGGCAGGAGTTCAGGGCGGCAGCTCACCTGCACATCCAGAGACTCTGTGGTTTCTTTCTGCCCTTCCAGAGAACTGTCAACCTCTACGGCTTTTTTGCTTTTCAAACAGGGGTCAGGTTCTTTGCTTTCACTCTGGGAAAGTTCATTGAAGTGTAGTACCTGCATGATGAGGGTGGGAGGGTCTTTCAGACAATATGAACAGGAGGAAGCATCAAGAGAGAGCTTCAGTCACATTTTTATAATGTAACAATGATTATGCAGTCAAACGAAATAATCAACCATCATTCACAGAAATAAAGGCTTCTTTCCTTAGATCTGGGGTTGAATGCAGACGAAGTAACTGAATGTTCCCTCTGTCCAGGATAGCATTTAGGGACTTAAAAGTCTCTCTGGGCTACTGTGTTGAGAAGAGATGGCCCATGGGAACAGCTTCAGGAGACTGTCCATAGTGCCATGTTAGAAGAGACGGTGAGGTTCAGGCCTCAGGGAGATGGCAAGAAGCATCTAGATTCTGGTTATATTTGGAAAGAAAAGTGATCAGAATCTTCCGACCCACATGGTGTGAAGTGAGAGAGAAAAAGAAGGGTTAAGGAGGACACTGAGAACTTAGCTGCTGGACAAATACCTGGGCTTAATAAATATTTAGTTAATGGAATAAGCAAGAGACAAAGCATGCATATTAAAAATCACCAGCTAATACTGTTACCAATAATTATAGAGAGACAGACTTGTAGACAGAGATAGAGACAAAGAAGATGAGTGGGAAAAGCTGTCTGCTGGGGGGAGGCTGGGGAGGCTCCATAAGGAGATGGAGTTAGAACCTTGAAGACGGGTAGAATTGAAGAGAAGGTGAGGACTCAAGCAAGCCCACCGTGCAGTGGATCAGCTCAGCAGAGGATCAGCATCTGACTTTGAATGTGCACCCGGAGTCCAGGACCCCATGCAGCACCTTCAGGGATACACACCTCATCAATCTGACGAGCACTGTCATTTCTAGCCCCCAGGTGGACCATGCCCAGGGCAGCTGAGAGGCTCAGAGGAGAGTAAAAGATATTTTTTTGACTCTCATCTTTGGTTATCTCTCGGAAAAGATCCAAGGAAAATTTGGTATTTGCTTCAATCAGAGACTCCATTGTAAAACTGACAACTGCCTAAAACAAAAAAAAAAAAAAAAAGAGAGAGAGAAAGTGGTGATTGGAGAACATAGGCAAATAGACAAACAAATCATTCTTATTTTTAATACTCAAGATAAAATCATAGACAATTATTCAATGTGTGATTAATAATAAATAATTAATAAACTGGAAAACTAAGGTCACCCAACATTATATATCCAAACAATGGTGTCAGTATTGTGCCCATAGAAAAAGAAATCTATTTTTGTTCAGTGGTATGAATTAGTTTCCCAGAGCTGCCTTACAAGTTACCACAAACTGAGTGCCTTAAACAGCAGGAGTTTATTCTCCTGCAGTTCTGGCAGATAGATGTCCAAAATCAAGGTGTTGGCAGAATCAGGTCTTTCTAGAGGCTCTCAGGGAACATCTTCTCTTCCAGCTTCTGGTGGCTGCCAGCAATCTTGACATTTCTTGGCTTATAGACACATCACTCCAATCTCTGCCTCCATCTGCACATGATGCCCATGACTATATGTGTGTGTGTGTGTGTGAGTGAGTGAGTGAGTGTGTGCCCAAATTTCCCCTTTATAGACACCAGTCATTGAATTAGAGGCCTAAATCAGTATAACCTCATTTAATTTAGTCCTCCATGACCCTGTTTTATTAAGTTCACATTCACAGCTGCAGAGATTAGGACTTAAACAGATCTTTTGGTGACACAACAATGCTACTCATTTCTTTGGGGAGCCTCCTTTATTCAGGTACAGTATGGTCAAAGGTTGCCATTCCCCACAATCAAATCAGCAGCCAAGAAAACCTCGTGCTACCTCCTCCTCTTCCTCCACAGGCTGTGCCTGTTTCTGCTTAAGTCTTTTGCCTTCTCCCCTCAGTGGTCTGTGCCTGAGGATTTGCCCAGCAAACAGTCCCAGGTCATGACCCTGGCCAGCATTCTTACCTCCATTGACTCATTGCATATGCAGCCTCCAGAACTTGAAGCACTTGAGCAGTCATTAATATTGTTCAAGAGGAAACAGATCTTCAAAGGTCATGAGTGTATAGAAGTCAATTCTTTCAACATCCTTTTCAAGAGAGTGACTTTCCTAAGAATAGATTTCTGGTCCCTGACCCCAAGCTACTCTAGAAGAAGCAAGAAAGTTCCCTGGAGATCTTACCTTGGACCTGTGGCTTGCAAATTAAATGTCTTTTCTTTGGTCTCTTTGCTTATGGATAGTGCATATTTCCAAGATGAAAACATATGCCCCTTTATTTGCAGTTTTGTCATTAGGTATGTGCCACACAGTAAGCATGAAATAAGTTAGTTTACTGAGCTGAACAGTACACTTTGACGTTAGCATTTTTCCAGTTTAATACACGTTTTTATAACTAATAAATTCTAATTTAAAAACATAATCTTAGACAACTTTTTTAAAAATTTATACCTGATATGATCTGAATAGTTTACATATATTAGCTTTAACCCCACATTTCTGCAGGGTAGATATTATAGCTCCCCTTTCACAAGATGAGAAAACTGAAGAATCAAATCACATATATACTTAATTCCAAACTAACTACTCTTCCTACTATATCCACTATGGCTACAATACCTGCTCTCAACTCAGGATAAGCTGGTCCTACATACCCCCACACCTAGTCACATTTTCCCTCCTTGTTCAGTTTCGTCTATTTTTATCCTTAAATTCTTTCTACCAGATGTGTACTTGCTTTGAATTTCCAATTTTGTGCCTGGGAAGCTAGATTTGAGATATGCTCTGTATTTTAAAACAATCTGTGGGTAATTATAGGTCATCTTTTTCCAGGAGCCATCTGCCCTAATAGGTGGGTGGTTTTCAGGTAATGTGCATCCTGGGTGCGTCTGGCAATTCAGTTTGCTTCTTACACTGGAAAGTCACCTTTGCATTTGTTGGGAAATACTTCACATCCAACACATTTTCTCTACAGCATGGTTCACATGGCCCACTTAGTAGCACAGGTCTACCAAGGAAGTAAAGAAAACAAATACATTAAAGACAGCCATGGGTGAGGGGATTCCACAGGCTTTGGTTTTCATAAAACTTTATAGAAAAGGCAGTCTAATATTTTTAAAGCTGTGGTTGTAGGACAGAGGCTGATATTTGATGAAAATCTTCAGCATCAAGAGAGGAAAAGGTAAGGGCCACCCTGGCTATTTGTCCACAGGCTGGCAATTTTGAAGGAAAGAAGGTTGTGCATGCAAAGACAGAATGGTCCTGACCGGCGTCCGTAAGATCCAGCTCAACTTTGCCTTCGCTCCTTTCTGTGGATGTGCCCCTGGCACAGAGGGGAGGGTGTTTCTCTCTGGCATGAGTGCCTCCAGAACAGAGTGACCCGCATCTCACGTACTTCAGAAAGGCGTGGCTGCTTGTGGGCCTACTCCCTTCTTCTCAAGATACACAACACTGAAGCCAGGTGAAGTGAAGTGATTTGCACACCATCCTGCGGCAGGCCAGAAGAAAGCTAAGATCTCTCGGTGCCTGGCCTGCTCTCCTGGTTTAGGCACTTGTTTCTAATTCTTGCAGTATCCTTACTCACTCTGAGAGCCGCAGAACACCTCCAAATTCTGCACGTTTCTACCTAAAACTTCTTCAAATTTGTAAACTACTTTTCATGAGTCTCCTGAGATGGACTGCAACTACTATGATGTTGTCACCGCAGCCAAGTCTCCTTTTCTGAGAGTCACCTGGTTACACACCACAGACCAGCTCTAAGCTTCCATTATAGGTCTGTGCTGCCTTCACGCTGCCTGACCCACCAAAAAAGAGGTGAGAAAGACAGTTGGTAGAAAAATGACTGAAAGAAACTGCCTGAAGGTTGCAGTAACTATTACCTGACTGGATGTGCACACGTATAGTAGCAAGATCCTTCCTGGCTTCATACAAAGTTTAAAAGGTGGGAAGTGGGGAGATCATTTAATAACTTGATTAAAATATCATCTAATAACCATCTTCTGATGGATTGTTTGTTTGTCTTGGGGATTAGTTCTTAAATTAGGAACTGTCTAAATCTTACAGCAACCCAACTCTCGAATGATCATGCATAAAATTCTCTCACTGGGTCATGTGTGAAAAAAGGATAAGCGGATGAGATGCGGTTTCTGACTTTAAGAAATCCATGATCTAACAAAGCAGGAAAAGTCCCAGAATTGGCAAAACTCATCTGCAACCTTGGAAGTCAGGAGGGTGGTTGTCATTGGGGGTGGTTAGCCACATAAAAACAGTGAGGGACTATTAATAAACTGACTCCCTAAAAATAACAAACAAACAAACAAAAACCATGACTTCTAGAGCTTGCCATTTCCAAGGTGTAAATATTGTCACTATGGTCAATTTCAACTAGCAGATAAACAGACAAAACATAAGACCTATAAAACATCCCCTTATCCATAGTTGGGAAAAGATGAACAGAATCTGCCCTGGTGGGCCTGCAGGGGCCAACTCAAGGACATCAGGCCTGAGCACGTGTCCTGTCTGGGTCTGGGCCACACAGGAAACGTACACTTGTGTCCTATGCACTTGTGTGTGCCCACGTGATCACTTGGTTTCACTTCAGATGTGCCTTCCTGTTTGTCCTTTTAATGCCTATACAATTAGATGGCTCTATCTAAATTTTTAAACTGATATCTTCTTGTTGGGCATTTTTATTAGTTTCCGATTTTCCCTATTGTGAATTGTGCAATGAACATCTTAATAAGTACAGACAGCTTCTATCTTCATTCGCATTATTTCTTCAGGATATCGTCAATGTGGAATTTCTGGGTTAAATATTAAAAGACTGGTTGACTTGCATACTCTGAAGCCAAGCTTACACATGAAGCAGCTGCTTCATTGTCTCACCGTCTTCAGGTAATGTCATTATTATTTTTGATAATTTAAAAGTAAGAAAAAAAAGTTGTAGTATTTTTTAATTTGCATTTCATTGATACTCACTAACATTTGAACATTTGGCCATGTATTCTTTTCTGTTTATATATTCTGTTAAGTGTCCCTCATTATACTCCTTTTTAAAAATTATCTATTAGAGTTATGATCATTTACTTATTAACTTTTCATGTTATATACACATTTTGTTTCTAAGGATTGTTTTACGCATATTATCCCTAGATGCTGTAGCTTCTTTGTTTCCTAGTGTTGTTTTAGAATTATTTTTACTTTTATTTACTTAAAATTGTCAATATTTTTGGTTTTACCCTCCATCACTTCAAAACTTTGAAAACAAAGTGTTTTGATTTTAATATTAAAATTCCATCTAGTTCCAATTTTTATAAGAAAAGTTAGAAAGTGTTATCTAAAGTTCCTAGTTTTAAAAATTTCTAATATTAGTTATCTTAAATTTGTAACAATTTTCCTTTATTTTTTTCTTTTTGATGTTTTGTCCATTTATCTGCTAGTTTTTTTGCAGTGCTGGGGTTTTACAGGGCCTGGAGCATGTTGGGAAAGCTCTCTACCACTGAACCACACCCCCAGCCCATTTTAATGGGTTCTAAGGAATCCGCACACATTCTCCTTTGGTTGATTCTTTGTTTTCTGACTTAATTACTCATGTGAGACCCTCTTTGACTTTTCTCCACTTTTTCCTCCCACCACTATGTATTTAATAACCACACTACATTTATGTTTCTCTTTCTTTCCTTATTATACTGTAATGTACCTGTTTTTTATGTTTCTTTCTTTACTTATAAAACATAATGCTTGAGTGTAAGTTCAATTTTTTTATTCATCTTTGTATCTCATCAGTAAATAAAACAATGGCAGCACATAGGAGCATTTCTTTAGTATTTAAGGATTGATTTACTATTACTACCCCTTTTTTATTGTAGAAAATCTAATGTCATATTAGATGATATTATTCAAACATTATACATTCTGCAGGCAGCTGTAATAGAGATGTTGCATGGTGGAATTAGTTTTTGATTAATTTTCTACTCTATTAGAATAGTTCTTTTAATTAAAATATTATTTCCTTTATAGTGAAAATTAAAAGTTTAGACTAGATAGATGTTCTAACAACCAAATATATTCTAAGTGAAATTGTTCTTTCTATATGCAGCAGGAAGAAAAACTTTTATATTCCAAAAATATTTCTGGACTTATAATTTCCACAAAACTACTAATAATCCAAGAATGAAATTCCAATTTTACCCAGGTAAAATTCCAATTTTACCCATGCTGTTCTACTGGAATAAATATAACCAGATTATAACAAATTAAATAATAAACAATATCTAAAAACAAGGAAATACTTATGACAGATGCAATCTAAAGTGTTTTCCAAACTGTAGGAAAGAGGCATCTAAACTCACATTACTTACAATATGGATAACCTAAATACCATTCCATTTTATATTGCAGAAATAATTCATTAAAAGATGAAATACAATCTGTCAAGTATATGAAGGCAAAAAAAAGTTATTCAAACATTCATATTGTTTTAAAAAGTTAATCAGATACATCGACTGTCTGACCAGATGGTTGGAGGCTGAGAAAGATGATTGATCATCCAGTGAGTATTGCCACACCTGCAGAAAATTCAAACCATCATAACATAAACTTTTTTAAAGGCTTAATAAAAATAACCTATCATTCAACTTTAATCATATCTCCTTTTGGTTTCTATTATTTTAGACAATCTTCCAATGCAGTGTTCATATTGAAAACCATACCAGGCAATGTGAGAATTTACCTTCTTGCCTTCGGAGTTGCTGCTGACAACTGGCCAGGTAAGTTTCCATCCACACCCTGTCAGGGATGGGAATTTATCAGCTCAGCTCCTCCCACAGTGGCACTTTCCATGTGTCATTAATCTAGGGTAAATTTGTAATTGATTGATTAAAGGGAAAAGAAAATTGTGGCAGGTACTTTTAAAAACAAATTTGTATTCTTGATTCTTTCAATTAAATTAAATATTTAACCTATTATGCTTATATTTTCTTTGCTCTTTCCAAGTGGGTCTTTTCATAGAGCCCTCAATGTAGTCCTCAATCCACATTTTTCTTCCCAAATCTCTATTCTAGATTTTAAAAATGAAGACGAATGGAGATCTATTTTACTTCATATACTTATTGTCATGGATGATCTCTTATATTTGAATGTTTATTATTCTAAAATTTTTATGTACAACTTCTATAATAGGGACTTGAAAATGTGTTTTCAGCTATTTTCAGTTGTTGCTGTGGTTGTTGTTTTCCCTGAAGCAGTGCTGGGGTGGCGGAGGGGATTACTATCCATCTACCAGAACAACTGGATACCAATCAAAGCACAGAAACCATCTCAATAAAAACCAAAAACCTGGTCTAGATGTCTCTAGAAAAGATGCCCAATTTAGCCTCCTGAGGCCTATGGCCTGCCTACCTATTTTTCTTATTTGTTTCATCAAGAGTTTTAAGGCCCAAGACACCCCAACTTTTTTTTTCTTAAACTTCTGAAAAACCTTTCATAGGAGAAACATGTTCAGCCATTGGGGGAGGGGGAGCCAAATAAGATTCTGATGTTATCTGTTGTCCTAACCCACCAGGATTCTGACATGCCTGAGCACTTGGGGTCAGTTACAAAGGCTATAACAACTTGGAGGTATCTGAGGAGAGCCAGAACTCTGGGAATTTATTGATATGAGGATTCCTCCCTGGCTTGATGTCCTCTCTAACCCATGCATATTTCTTTTCTAACTTATTGTCACATAACAATGTCATCTGAGTGTAGTCCCACAATACGAGGATATTAGATATAAGGAAATTCAAAAGAAAAAAACTCTACAAAAGGAATGTTGCCTTTATGGAGAATAAAAATGACTTAAGTAACTAAATCGCAAATGAATAAGTTAAAAACTTATTTTTTATAAAATAAGATATTGACCAATGGAAATTAGTGCCTAGACATCAAGAGGTTTTCTCAAATCTCAACAGTAAGCAAAGAAAACAACTGTGCTATTCGTTGTCTTCACTCCATGACCACTGGGAAACGCTTGTGTGTTTTTACTCTAAACGCTTCCACAAAATTCTAAACACCAGTCTCGCCATTGGTCACAATTTGCAAAATGTTAGAAAATTTCAGATGCAAAGCAGACAGTTCCTCATGCCAGTTGCTCACTAACTACTTCATGCAGTCATGGCCTATCATAGCCTTTCTGAAAAGGGTGCTGTTTACAGGTAGAGCAGGATGATTTTGCCTGGCCACCTGGATTTACAATTGTCACATTTGTTATTGCTGGCTGTTGATATAACAAATTGCACTGGGTACCTGAGCAGATTCAAAGCCTGTCTGATTATCTTTAATCTAGGATTGCATCTGCTTATCCTCTCAATCCAACCAAGATCTAACTATGGATGACTGTGCCCTACAATCCTAAAAATTTGGCGTGGTGTGATTGCTCAACCAATGATGGTAATATCTGCCACTCCATGTAACTACATGTGAAGGAAACTTGATAAATCACTAAAGAGGGAATGAGCACTTATTAGGCACTTCATATACCAACCACCATTTGGAACTTAGGACATAAAATCTCATTCAAGGTTGGTGAATGAAAGTCAATCTCTTCAATGTTGGTGACTTCAGGGAATTACACTTCAGTTTGAAGACATTTTGGAGGTCAACCAGCCTGACAGTGCTAGTCAAGATAGTCTGGAAAATGCTTCTGTGTCAATAGACCATAAAAATGGTGTCTGTTCAACCAAGTGTAGACTTATATGATTCCTCCTAGATGTTACAACTCATCGTGAGTTATAGGCAATCAATTAGCCTTTCAGTGACTAGACTTTTTCTACCTGGAATAAAACAATCCAGCAATGCCAGAATGACTCACCAACCAACATCTTTGCCAGCTTCTGATACAACACCATGTGATTAAAAGACTCCTGTTGGTAAAAGCAGTATTTTTTAAATATTGTGAAGAAAATCTTTGCAACTAATTTTACAATCTCAATACTGAAGAAACAAAATGTTTATAAGAAAAATATCAGCATACTTTTTATCTAGTGAAAATGTATCTTTATCTGAAATAGATGGTTTACTGACATCCATGATTTTATACTCCAAACTTCAAAGCCTGATTACAAAAAAAATCCAAAATTAGAGGGAAAAAATCCATTAAGACAACAAATAGCAATAATAAAGACAGTAAGCAAAGAAAACAAATAACTAGAATCAACAAATGGGACTTACTCAAACTAAAAAGTTTTTTCTCAGCAAAAGATACAATAAGAGAGGTAAATAGAGAGCCTACATCCTGGGAACAAATCTTTACTCCTCACACTTCAGATAGAGCCCTAATATCCAGAGTATACAAAGAACTCAAAAAATTAGACAATAAGAGAACAAACAACCCAATCAACAAATGGGCCAAGGACCTGAACAGACACTTCTCAGAGGAGGACATACAATCAATCAACAAGTACATGAAAAAATGCTCACCATCTCTAGCTGTCAGAGAAATGCAAATCAAAACCACCCTAAGATACCATCTCACTCCAGTTAGATTGGCAGCCATTATGAAGTCAAACAACAACAAGTGCTGGCGAGGATGTGGGGAAAAGGGTACACTTGTACATTGCTGGTGGGACTGCAAATTGGTGCAGCCAGTTTGGAAAGCAGTATGGAGATTTCTTGGAAAGCTGGGAATGGAGCCACCATTTGACCCAGCTATTCCCCTTCTCAGTCTATTCCCTAAAGACCTAAAAAGAGCATGCTACAGGGACACTGCTACATCGATGTTCATAGCAGCACAATTCACAATAGCTAGACTGTGGAACCAACCTAGATGCCCTTCAATGGATGAATGGATAAAAAAAATGTGGCATTTATACACAATGGAGTATTACTCTGCATTAAAAAATGACAAAATCATAGAATTTACAGGGAAATGGATGGCATTAGAGCAGATTATGCTAAGTGAAGCTAGCCAATCCCTAAAAAACAAATGCCAAATGTCTTCTTTGATATAAGGAGAGTAACTAAGAACAGAGTAGGTTCGAAGAGCATGAGAAGAAGATTAACATTAAACAGGGATGAGAGGTGGGAGGGAAAAGGAGAGAGAAGGGAAAATGCATGGAAATGGAAGGAGACCCTCAGAGTTATACAAAAGTATATACAAGAGGAAGTGAGGGGAAGGGGAAAAATAATACAAGGGGGACAAACGAATGTCAGTAGAGGGGGCAGAGAGAGAAGAGGGGAGGGGAGGGGAGGGGAGGGGGGATAGTAGAGGATAGGAAAGGCAGCAGAATACAACAGACACTAGTATGGCAATATGTAAATCAATGGATGTGTAACTGATGTGATTCTGCAATCTGTATATGGGGTAAAAATGGGAGCTCATAACCCACTTGAATCAAATTGTGAAATATGATATATCAAGAACTATGTAATGTTTTGAACAACCAACAATAAAAAATTTAAAAAAGAAAACAAGTGTGCTATTCGTTATCTTCATTCCATGACCACTCGGAAACGCTTGTGTGTTTTTACACACACAAAAAAAACTTGTTTTAAAACTTATAGTCACCCTTGAGATATCACCCTTCATGTAAAAGCCCTCAGTTCTTTCAGAACAACACTAAAGCTTCCAAGATTGAAAATAATGCCAACTGCCAACTCAAATATGACAGAGGCATGGGACACAGAGACAGGCAGAGCAACAAGACAGCAGAGGACACACCACAGGAAGAACAGAACGTGGACAACCAGGGACCCAGATCTCGAGTCCCTCTAGCCTGAGACCTAAAGCAATTGTCTCATTCATTAAAAAATAAATAGAAATAATAATAGCTGTTTCTGCTCTGTATTGAAATATAATTGCATAGAATTTGTACTGTATTAACTTTTGTTTCCTACCCATCTTTGTGAAATATATTTCTTTCTCAAATTGTAAATCAGGCTTCATCCTTCAAAAAAGTGTTCATGAATTAGAGCTTCTGGGGCCAAATTTAACCCATTGCCTGTTTTCTTCAATAAAGTTTTATTGGAAAGCAGCATATTGTTCACCTGCTGCTGCCTGTGGCTGCTTTGGCTCTACAACGAGAGTTCAACGGTTGTGAAGAAACATGGCCGACAGAGCAGAAAACACTCCTTGGTCCTCTGCTGAAGTTTGCGGATCCATGCTTTAAGTGATGAAACGTCATGATTTTTAAGGACTATGAAGTTTTTATATCCTTAAATATACAACCGTTCCTTACACAAAACTAATGTGTGATACACTGATAAGAAATACACTAAGACATTTTTAATTTCTTAAACTAAAATATGTGCTTTGGTTTTATGTTAACCCAAGATTCTAATCCCCTACTGTATTGCAACAAAATTGTGGAACACCCATTCATCAGGTGCTCACTCTGGGTGTACAATGAACAAAAGCACACGTTGTCCCCCACATTCATGAAATCTAGTGCAATAGGAGTTTGCAATCTAGGCTCCATTACCTGCATCTAGATATAATAAGCATTTATTGGGGACCAAATATGTGCAGGCCCTTTCAAACCTATTATCTCATTCAGTTTTTCCAGTGAGGCAGAAAGGGAGACATCATTATTCCAGTGTAATTAATGAGAAAACTAGGATTCAGAGAAGCAGGGTTGTTCAGTTGTGACCCTAGAAAACAACAGAATGATCAATAATTTGATCAACCCCTCCCCTAACTCTCTGATCCCAATAATAAAGATGTGCAACACCTAGGGCTTCAAGAACAGGATAACTGACTCCAAAAGCCCTGGCCATCCACAGCAGCTTGTCCATCTCTCAGCACACACCAAAAAGCCAGAGAGTGCAGTCCCAGCTAAGGTCTGAACTCTGATGCAGCCAAGGAGGAAACAGCCAACAGTAAGGAGAGGTGCTGAGCAAGTTCTGTGTCATTAAAGTTCATGAATCAGGATCTTTTCAAGCCGACCTGCCGCTACTTATTTTCAGGATGCCACAGATGAGGAGCTAGAGCCTTCAATAAGCAGCTGCCAAGAAGCCTGAGCTGTGCATCTCTTTTCCTTGTTCTCCCTAAACAACTTACAGAGCCCTTCAAGCGCTGAGCTATACCGTGAGTTCATCATCTGTAAATGGAATACATGGCATTCGGGAGGAGGGTTTTCATGTCCCTTCCCTATGCACCAACCGTGAATGAACAGAGCAGGGACAGGGCTGTGGGTTCTGGGCCAAGCATGAGACTGCACTTCCCAGGCACAGTGGACTTGTCCCCCAGTTTCTGTTCCCTGCTCATCATGGCCACAGCTCCACAGCAACCAGGACAATTCCCTAAGCATCCTCACCGTCCATTCTTATCCTTCTAGCATCTCAGTCTTTACTAATAAATACAGAACATCTCCCCCTCCTTCCGTGCTCTCCTGGTTCCTTCTCTTCATCTTGGTCTTCCTCAGCTCCGCCATGCCCTACCCCTGGGATCCAGTACATCCCTTTCTCCCCTGTCTCTCCCTCCCTCGGCAAGGCCATTTCAGATGGACTGACTCACCTGCATAGCTTACCAGATGTTAGCCATCATCATGAAACATCAGCTCTTTTCCAAAACATGGTGAATGTTGTGTTAAGGAAAATAACACATCCTCATGGGGGGAGCTATTGAGAGGTCCTTCAGTGTGATTTGCAGTCTTGGAGCAAAGCTCCACCTTTGGATTTTTACAAAAGGCTCTTCCTCATTAACTAATTTCAGCACAGCTCTCTCCAGGTATCTGGAAACGCATCCTAGACCATGACCCAGTGAGGATTGTCCTCTGGGAAGCACACACTGTAGTTATATTAAAAAATTCAGACCATACTCCATTCCATGAGAAAACTCATTGGTCTATGGGGTGTTAAAGTTGTAACTGCCTAACCTAGACGATCCAAAAGCACATGGAGTATCATGTGACTTGCAAATAAGGAATGGCGTTCCAACCAGCCAGATTTAATCCATAGAATAATAATATGATTTAGAGTATAACTGTGAAAGCAATAAGAATTTTGAATGAAGGAGATGGTAGACAAATTGGAGATAGTAGAGCATAAATGAATTCTAAATAACTTGTGTCATTTGAGAAAATTTAAAATATTGAGAAATGTAAAAAAAAAGATAATTTATAGGCCCATCAAAAGCTATAATATCCTTTTTTTCTATGTGCTTTTTTACATAGTGAAGCTCGTAATGAATTTGCAATTTTAAACCTTTCTCTTTCTATGGTAATGAATTTGCAATTTTAAACCCTTCTCTTTCTATGTAGTACTTTGACTTATCTCTCTCTCTCTCTCTCTCTCTCTCTCTCTCTCTCTCTCTATATATATATATATATATATATATATATATATATATTAGTCTATAAATAAGTATTACTTTTAAAGCTGGGTGTGGTGGTGCACATCTGTAATCCCAGGGTCTCAGGGTGTCTGAGGCAGGAAGGTAGTGTGTTCAAAGCCAGCCTCAGCAACTTATTAGGGCCCTAAATAATTCAGTGAGACCCTGCCTCTAAATAAAATATATTTAAAAAGGGGGCTGGAGATGTGGTTCGGTGGTCAAGTGCCCCTGATTTCAATCCCTGGTACCAAAAATAAATAAAAAAGTATTACTTTTAATGTCTATGTAAACATGCCATCAATTACCCATGCTCTTATTAAACATTTAGGTGGTTTCCAATTTATATAAATAGTGCTATGTCAAATCTTTTAACCTTTTAATCTGAATCTCAAATGTTCTTCTCAGCATAGACATCCAGGTACTGGATAAAATGCATGAACATATTTAATTTTGAATTTATCATATCAAATTGGACTCCAGAAAAACCCTGCCAGCAGAGCCTGGAAGGGGCTGCTTTTCCAGGGTGGCTTTTTTAACCAGTTTTTTTCCTCTTCTAAATCTGGCAGCAGCCTTCTGTCTCCTGAGGGAGCTCCCTGAGAAAGGAAGGAAAACCACAGCTGCCTTCAACTCCTTCCACCCAACGCCCGCCCTGCACAGGCAGACAAGAGAACACCGAGCTCTTCCATGACTCTTTCAAGTCGGATTGTGAGCATCTAGAAACTAGTCTGTCACCCTGGGGTGGGGACAGGGTGTAACCACCTAATTTTCTGAGTATTCTTAAGGGAACACCAAAGCCACGCTGGAGCCTCCCTTGATTCTTTCACCCGGGAGCGATTCTCAACTGCCGCATCCTGAGCTTCTTCAGGGGACACCCGCATGACTTCTGCAAGGACTGCCATTGAAACACCGAGGAGATGTGATTTATCTGCTCTTTTTAGCTGGATGCGAAAAAGAAACGGTGTTCGTGAAGGTGCTTGTGTGGCAAGTGACCTGGCGGATGCCCAACTGGCTGTCCCTTTCACCCTGAGGGTTTCCAGGAGAGCGATCACCCCACCACACCTCCCCCCAGGGTGCTTGGGGAATGTAACTCAGACACAGGTGACACAGAATAGCAAGACGTAATACATTCCATTGTCATTTATATTTTTAAAAAATCAATAATAAAATTTTTTAAAAAGGCTTTGCTGGCCTTTATTTATAAATGGAGTGGAGTAGGGCATCTGGCAGGCAGAGGGGTATTGGCTGAGAGGACCTTGTTTCCTGACACAGGCCGATGAGAAAGCAGGGCCCCTTAGAGCTGTCCTCTGCTCTCTCACCTCCTAGAACCTCCTTCTCCCTGCTTCTAAAGATAATAGTGACAAAACCATTGTGACAGGCTGGCCACACCTCCTGGTGCTTACTCAGTCTGTTGGAGAAGTCTGAAAAGTTTGTACATACGTTTTATTTTTTCCTTTTTTTAATTCTTTTTTTATTTTTTTAATTAATTAATTTTTTTATTAATTCTTATATACATCACAATAGAGGAGTGCATTACATTCATAATTTTTTGCATTGCAGTTCTTAATACACCTTTATACAGCTGCTGATGAGAATTACAGGAGCCCTTGAAAGTGTCAAGGTCATAAAGAGAACCGGATGGTAGGAAGGAGAAAATGGTCCTGGTGAGTGGGAAGGCTCAGTTCTCTTCTCAAAGATGGAACCGAGGTGGATGTCACCTTTATATAAGGGCCAGAAACAAAGGGGGAGCTTTCAGAGAATTTATTCCTATGAAATTTATTCGAGTTACCTTGGCATTTTAAGGAAAGAGTAATTAATTGTACATCAAGTCAGGGATTTGCCTCATTTTATTTGTCTCAAGTGACTGTCCTCACTTTAAATAGGGTGATACCCAAAGGCAACACCCAGGAAACCTAAGGCTGCATGCTTATGCACAAAACCTCAAGGACAAAGAAAACCAGATGTGTACATGTATACATGTGTGCACCAGTTGTCTGACAATCATCTTCAGACTTCAGGGAAGCGCTGTCAAATTCTGACAGACTTATAATTGCCTGACATTGCCCCAGTCACCAAATCTGTTTCTTCATCACAACTTGCTGACCCCTCCGCCTTCTTCAAGCCAAGACATAAAGCAAGTGTACAATGTAGGCACTCAAACATGAAACCTCCAAGTTCAGGTTCTGTCAATCAACAGGAAGTCACAGTGGCCAAAAAAAAAAGACACAAATCAAATTGGTGGCTCTCTTGCTTTGAGACATATGATGAGAACGCTTGGCAGGTGGCCTTGCCAAAGCCACAACGTATTTTGTCCTCTGTTCAATAATTCAAGAAATCTTATCACAAAAAGAAATTAGATTCATTTGGCCTGACTTGTTCTTGGTAAATTCCAGGTAATGCAACGACCCACCACTTCCTTCTCTAACGAATGCTGTGACCATCTTCTGTACTTTTCCTGTGAAGCACATCAGCTTCCTTCCTCTGTCATTTATTCAAGCTCTGCTCTGTTCCGACGTTGGACACCTGGAATTTTTCATCTAGGCCTGTGCACCATTCACCCCTGGTTTCAGATGCAGCCTTCTCTCTGTTTTGCCTGCTGCTTTCAAACCTGATCAACAAGCTCTTTGGTAGCCTATGTTTTTCTTTAAACATTGTTTTTTTTCCCCTTTCATTAGTTTTCCTGTATGATGGAAGAAGAATTTTAAGTCTTCTTGAGTCATAATCCCTTTAAATGTCTCAAGACAAAGGATAAGCCATTTTTTAAGTTTTTTGAAATGTATTATAGAAGGTGTATTGGGCACACCTCAGTTGTCCCTGCACCCTTCACCTCTGAACTCTGGCCTTTGTCTTCACAGTACCCAGGGCTTCCTCTGCCAATTATCTTCCCCCGCCAATTATCTTCCCCCATTGGTCAAAACTAAATCCAGAGTATTGATTGTACTTTTATTCACTTAGGTATAACATTATCAGTAATATTATCAGACCCCAGAAATGAAGATTTTACAATTTATCCTTCAAAGAGTTTATTCTAAAAGATTAATTAATTTGTCCTAAAGATAAATAATATCCCAGAGTTTTCTGTTGAAAAGCCATTCTTCCCCCATTGAATGGTGTTGGCACCTATGTTAAAAATCGATTGACCATAGATGTAAGGACTGATTTCTGAATTCTTAACTCTATTCCATGGATCTATACATAAAGCCGAATGCCAGCACCTCACTGTCTTGATTCCACGTACCAAACAATGGAGTTGGACCGTACTTGGAAGCCTGCATGAAAATTAACTAAAAATTGATCAAAGACCTAAATGTAAGAACTAAAACTAAAACACATTTATTAATGCATTATAGTTATACATGCCAGTGTGGTTCTTTGCTCCATAATCATACATACGTGGAATGTAATCTGCTCCATGTAAGTCCCCAGTACCTCCTTTTCCCTCTCCTTCTCTCACCCCTGTTCTCCTTCCTCTACCCTACTGGTCTTCCTGCCATTTATTTATTATATTTGTAGTTGGTGCTTTCTAAGTACATACAAAGATGGAACTCACTGTGGTATATTCACATATGTACGTAGCATAACTTGGCCAATTTCATTCCACAGTTCATTCTTTTCCTGTCCCTCCACTTCCTCACTCAATCCCCTTCTCAAAACTAAGATATTCTTTGAAGAAAATATAGAAGTAAACCTTCGTGAACTTGGGTTAGGCAATGATATCTAAGATGTGATACTATAAATGTGCCACCAAAGGAAACAGTAAATAAACTGTAATTCACCA